TTTTTTTTTTTTGAGACAGAGTTGCCCTGTTTCACTCACTATGTTGCCCTCAGTAGAGTGCTGTGGTGTCACAGCTCACAGCAACCTCAAACTCTTGGGCTTAAGTGATTCTCTTGCCTCAGCCTCCCAGGTAGCTGGACTACAGGCACCCTCTACAATGCCCAGCTATTTTGTTATTGTCATTGTTGTTCAGTAGGCCTGGGCCTGGTTTGAACCCGCCAGCCCCAGTGCATGTGGCCGGCTCCCTAGACCCTGAGCAACAGGTGCTGAGCCTGGCATATCTTGTTTTATTGCACTTCATTTTATTGCACTGGGAAGATAGTACATTTTTACAAATCAGAGGTTTGTGGCAGCTGTGTTTCAAGCAAGTATTTTGTTTGTCACCATTTTTCTAACAGTGTGCACTCACTATGTCTCTGTGTTATGTTTTGGTAATTATTTTTCTTTTTCTTTCTTTTTTTTTGAGACAGTCTTGCTCTGTCACTCTGAGTAGAGTGTTGTGGTGTCAGAGCTCAAAGAAACCTCAAACTCCTAGGCTCTTGCCTCAACCTCCCAAGTAGCTGGGGCGACAGGTGCCCACCACCACCACTCCTGGCTAGTTTTTTTTTTTTTTTTTAAGTAGAGATGGGGGTCTACTCTTGCTCAGGTTGGTCTCAAACTCTTGAACTCAGGCAGTTCACCCACCTCAGCCTCTCAGAGTGCTGGGATTACAGGCATGGGCTATCACGCCTACGCAGCAATTAAGTATTTCTTAGTTAATATACAATAAAGTGTGCGTGTGTTTTTTTTAGAAATAATGCTATTGCACACTTAATAGACTACATTTTCTTTTATAGGCACCGAGAAACCAGGAATTTCGTGACTTGCTTTATTGTAATACTCATTTTATTTGTTGTGGTAGGCTGGAATCCAGCTGTATTGTCTCTGAGGCATGCCTGTATTTTCATGAAGGCCAAAGTATCTAGCCAGATAGACTTGGGCAGCCATTTGAATTTTAAGTGTCAGGAATAATTTCATTTGGGTAAATATTGAGCTTATGAACTGTAACATTCCTGAAATCTTGGCTCCTGGCCTATTGCTCAAGGGAAAAGGTTGCCTTGGGAAGTTTTCTAGTCACCACATTCCAGGTCTTTTCATCAGACTCTGAAGGGCATCTGTCTGTGACCCAAGAGATTAAGAAATATTGCCCTGGTCTTTTCACATCTCTTTGTAGTTTGAGAAACCTTGAGCCATAATGCACATTTACTTTCTCTCATCACCCAGATCTCCCATTGTTGAATTCTTAAAGTTTTAGGGCCCTAAATTATTGAATTTCAATCCTAGTTTCACACTAGACTTATTGGGCAATCTATTCTCTAACATTTTAATCAGATCTTCTGGGGATGAGATTTGGTATGACTTAGGTATGCTTGCTTTTTTTTTCTTTTTGAGTTTTTAATTATCAGTTGAAAAATATCTGCATTTCTGTTTTAAGAAAACAGTTCCATATTTTACTTAAACATTCAGGAAAATAATTTTAAATATAAACTTATAGACATTTAAAATAATCAATTTAGAGGATGGACTTCCTCCATCTTTGTATTTAAGAATTATTTTACGAGTACCACCTGTGGCACAGTGGGTAAGGTGCCAGCCCCATATACCGAGGGTGGTGGGTTTAAATTCAGCCCTGGCCAAACTGCAACAACAACAAAAAAATAGCCAGGTGTTGTGGCGGGCACCTGTAGTCCCAGCTACTTGGGAGGCTGAGGCAAGAGGATCACCTAAGCCCAGGAGTTGGAGGTTGCTGTGAGCTGTGATGCAGTAGCACTCTACAGAGGGTGATAAAATGAGACTCTGTTTCTAAAAAAAAAAAAAAAATTTTACATCTAAATGAAATTAAAACATATATGACAATATGCATATATGAGAAAATGTAAATACCTACTTTTCTGTTTCTACTCAGCTATCTATACCTTAACATTTCTATACGTATATCTCAAACATATGTTTTCTTCTATTATATATAAGAATAATAGCACTCACTCAGGAGTTATTGTAACAGTTATATTATCTAATATAATGCTTGCTTTTTAAAAGCTTCCTAGGTGACTGTAATGTGCTAAAGGGTGAGACCTGTCTTAGAAACTTCTAAGAGGGTCCTGAAGACCCTATGAATTCTCATAAGGTGATCATGAGGAGTATTGTCATAGTTTAGTGGTTTTTAAACTTTGCTCCATACTTCCCAGAAGTATATTCTGGAGCTTCTGGGGAGTGAGGATGGGCCAAATACGCCAGCCTTCTGGGGCCTGCACACAAATATACTCATCTATTATCAGAGACCCTCCAATTTTATTTGCTTTATTTAAAAAGGTTTTTTTTTTTTTTTTTTTTTGTCATACTCTGCTCCAGAGTAATATTTTATTTTAATTTTAAGATACAGGGACTTCTTCTGTTGTCCAACCTAAAATGCAGGGTCAATTCACAGCAGCTTTGAACTCTTGTCTTCAAGCACTCCTCCTACCTCAGCCTCCTCTATAGTTGGGACTGTAAACAAGTGCTGCCATGCCTGGCTCTGAAAATTTTTTTTTTTTTTTTTGAGACAGAGTCTCACTTTGTCACCCTTGGTAGAGTGCTATGGCATCAGCTCAGCACCTCAAACTCTTGGGCTTAAGCAATTCTCTTGCCTCAGTATCCCAAGTAGGTGGGACTACAGATGCCCAGCTATTTTTTAGAGACGGGGTCTTGCTCTGGCTTAGGCTGGCCTTGAACTTGTGAGCTCAGGCAATCCATTCACCTCTGCCTCCCAAGTGCTGGGATTACAGGTGTAAGCTACTGCGCCTGGTGTGGCTCTGAAATTTTAATGTATCTTTTTTTTATCATGTTGGAACAGAAATTGACACAACTGGTGGTCATCACTCTTTAATAAAGATCATAAAAGTAGGGTCAGGGTCAATGTATAACTTAATTCCTTAGATTTGGTGAAAGGACGTTTGTGATGGGAGAAATAATGGGAATAAATACTGCCTTTTTTAACTGACTTCTTACTCAAGCAGGACGATCTGTGCAAAGCAGTCCAAGTGCAGTACCCTCAATGGTACAGAAATCACCCAGGATAACCCCTCCAGTGGCCAAGTCAGGTTCTCCCCAGGTATGTTTCGATTCAGCTTACGTGCTTGTGTTTGTTATTGTATGGCCCCAAGCACACATATTAAAATGATGTTTTAGAATTCAGAGCTTGGAAATAGCAATTAGGATTGTGTGATAGGAAATACCAAAGTGTGAAGTTTGAATAAATGTAATATATACTCATAAAAGCAATTAATTTACTTAATTTTTATTGACATATAATATCACTGAAAAGATTATACGTAGAATAAGTAGAGATAAGTGAATTGTCACCAACTGAACCCACTTTAGGCACTAGCACCCAAATCCAAAACCAGAAATTTACTGAAACTACAGAATTTCCCCTTATGAGTCCCCTTCTGCTTAGTCACTCATCCTTGCCAAAGTTCACAGAATCTTGATTTTGAACAGCGTAGATGTGTTTAGCCAGCTCAAACTTTCTATCAAATGGAACCATACAGTATGTATTCTTGTTTCTGTCTGTTTTGTTCAGTGTTACGTTTGTGAGATTTATCCGTATCACTCCTATATGGAATTCACTGTATAACTGTATGTATCACGAGTATTCGTTCCATTCTTGATGGGCACTTGCATGGCTTCCAAGTTGAAGCTGTTATGAATAGTGTTGCTTTGACCCTTCCAGTTGATATCCTCTAGTGAACATATACACACATTTCTTTTGGGCATATGCCTAGGAGTTGATTTGCTGGGTCATAGACTATGTGTGTTTTCTTCTTCAGTAGGTTCTTACTAGGAGTATACAAGACTTCCAGCAGCTCCACATCTTCACTCTTGATATTTTTCATCTTTCATTGTTTTATGTTTTAATTTGTATTTCCCTAGTGACTAGCAAAATTGAACTTTTTTCCATGTAATTATTGGCCATTTGGATAGTTTGTTTTATTTGGTGTTTGTTCATGTCTGTAAGAATATTTTTCTGTTGCATTGTCTGGCTTTTTCTTTCTGATTTTTAAGTATTCCTTGGACATACACATACACACACACACAATGCAAATACTTTCTCTCTTTTTTTTAAAAGACACAATCTCACTATTGCCTTCAATAGAGTACTGTAGCGTTGTAGCTCACAGCAACCTCAAACTCTTGGCCAGGCTCAAGCAATTCTCTTATCTCAGCCTCCCAAGTAACTGGGACCACAGGTATCCGCCACAACACCCAGCTATTTCTAGAGGCGGGATCTTGCTCTGGCTCAGGCTGGTCTGGAACCTGTGAGCCCAGGCAATCCACCTGCCTCGAGTGCTAGGATTACAGGTGTGAGCTACCTCACCCAGCCTCACAGTGCAAATACTTTCTCATCTTGAATTGCCTGTTAATTCTTTTTGTGTTTTCTTTTGATGAATACAGTTATTAATGTAATTGAGTATATCAATTTTTCCTTTATGAGTAGTACTTTTCATGTCTTTTTCTTTTTTTTTTTTTTTTTTTTTT